TTGTATCTAAGCTTCCATATAGTGGCTTATCCTTAATTTGTAAAACGTGTTCCACCATCGTTGGATCAAACTTTGCTAATATCGCTACTAATTTCTTTACATATTTGGCTAGGGTAACTGGCACATTTGTATTCACATTCGTGGGCCTAATCTCTTTGTTTACTCGTAGGCCTAATTTCTATATTTACATTTCTATTCACACTTGTAAGTTGACCTCTATATTCACACTCGTAAGCCTAGTTTCTATGTTTGCATTTCTATTCACACTCGTAGGCCTAATCTCAATATTTCTATTTCTATTCACACTCGTAGGCCTAGTCTCTATGTTTGCATTTCTATTCAGACTAGCAAGCCTAATCTCTATGTTTACGTTTTCAAGTATACATGATACTTTACTTTCACATCTACGTTTATGAAGTTCCCCATAAGAACAACTACATTCTAGAATCATGTATATTTTTAACACTAGGCCAACTATCTAAATGTCATTGTATTATACAGACACCTTTTGAAAATATATTCGTAGGTCCTTAGCGTTTCAAAAAGTTCTTATTATATTTGTTGTTCTCTTAGACTTCTCTGCACTTGGCTTGTATCTTCTAAATCAATCACGACACCTACTTGCTATAAATTATTTGGCGATTCGAATTCGAACGCCAAAAGTAAACAAAAATGATATGGGAAAACTAAAAGCTAACGTCCCTGATATGTGATAAGTCCTGCCAGTACGGTATTATGGATCCTACATAAATATTCATGATGCTGTTTTAAATCTTCAAAATTTCCCTCTTGATGGCGACGTTTCCCTGGTTATGTAGAGTCTACACCGTGCAGCGTCTTTTCTTCTTTTTTTCACTATGCTTTTGTTCAGTTTTCTTCTTTTTCTTTTGTAATTTCCTTTCTGTTGGGCCTTATTGCATAGGCTTGGCATATCTTGATAGTTAGGGCAATCGACTCGCATTCTGCGAGTCCCGTGTTCGAATGTGTATCACCGAACATGCTCGCCCTTCTAGCTTTGGGGGTGTTATAATATTATGGTCAATCCTACTATTCGCTGATAAAAGTGTAGCACGAAAGTTGACTATAGGTGGTGTTGACTAGCTGCCTTCCTTCTAGCCTATCACTTCTAAATTAGGGACGGCTAGCGCAGATAGGCCTCGAGTAGCTTTGCGCGAAATTCAAAACGAACCATTTCTCCGTAATACTGTAACATTGGTCTGTGTCATAAGAAGTATGTTCTCGTAATGCTGTAACACTGGTCTGTGTCACAAGAAGTACGTTCTCGTAATACTGTAACATTGGTCTGTGTCATAAGCAGTATGTTCTCGTAATACTGTAACATTGGTCTGTGTCACAAGAAGTATGTTCTCGTAATACTGTAACATTGGTCTGTGTCATAAGAAGTATGTTCTCGTAATACTGTAACATTGGTCTGTGTCACAAGAAGTATGTTCTCGTAATACTGTAACATTGGTCTGTGTCACAAGCAGTATGTTCTCGTAATACTGTAACATTGGTCTGTGTCACAAAAAGTATGTTCTCGTAATACTGTAACATTGGTCTGTGTCATAAGAAGTATGTTTTCGTAATACTGTAACATTGGTCTGTGTCACAAAAAGTATGTTCTCGTAATACTGTAACATTGGTCTGTGTCACAAGCAGTATGTTCTCGTAATACTGTAACATTGGTCTGTGTCATAAGAAGTACGTTCTCGTAATACTGTAACATTGGTCTGTGTCACAAGAAGTATGTTCTCGTAATACTGTAACATTGGTCTGTGTCACAAAAAGTATGTTTTCGTAATACTGTAACATTGGTCTGTGTCATAAGAAGTATGTTCTCGTAATACTGTAACATTGGTCTGTGTCACAAAAAGTATGTTCTCGTAATACTGTAACATTGGTCTGTGTCATAAGAATTACGTTCTCGTAATACTGTAACATTGGTCTGTGTCACAAAAAGTATGTTCTCGTAATGCTGTAACACT